GGACTGATCTGCACAGTGGATTTGCACCCCACCCCTTCTCATGCCTGTTGATTCAGAATACAAATTATTTACCGATTTGCTGCATTGGCCTCTCCTTTGATACAAGTTGTTCTTCAGCACACAGCAGGCATATTTGTCAGATGTCTCTATTACTCAGTTGAATTACACCAATTAATTAGTTTGTAATCAACAGTCGATGTTTAAAGTTTTTGAAAAGATTTGTAGCTTGGGTTGTGGCTGAGGTTGTAGACTTGCTCGCTGAGCCAGTGTGTTTGATTGCAGACGTTTTGTCACCCTGCATCGTCAGTGCGCCTGCACCGGAGTCTATGTGTGAGGAAGCTCCATGTTAGTATAGTGCCTGCCCTGTGAGACCAAGGTTCAGTTCCCTGATGGGAGTGGCTGATCTCTGTGAATGGCTGTGTGTAAATATGGGTATGAATTTTGGTTTTTTTGGTACAATGGTAGTGTTCATACCTCCTTGCCACGAAACTTGCATTCAAGTCCCACTTGCTGCAGAAGTGTGTAATAACATCCCTGAATTGGCTGATTAGAAAATACAAAATAGTCCATGTGCGTTTTTTTAAAAAAACCACCTACATAGGGGTTCAGGTACATGATTCTTTGAAGTTTGTGTTACAAATAGACAGGGTAGTTAGAAAGGCATTTGGCATGCTAGACTTCATTGCTCAGTCCTTTGAGTGTAAGTGTTGGGAAGTCATGTTGGGAAGATATTGGTGATGCATCTTCTGGAATCCTGTGCCCAGTTCTAGGAAGGAAATTATTAAGCTGGAGAGGGTTCAGAAGAGATTCACCGGGATGTTGCTGGGTATGGAAGGTTTGAGTTATAAAGAAAAGCTGGATAGGCTAGGACTTGTTTCACTGGAGCGTAGGAGGTTGAGAGGCAACCTGATAAAGTTTACAAAATAATGACGTTATAGATAGAGCTAATGGTAGGTGCCTTTTCCCTAGGATGGGGGATTTCAAGGTTTTTTTAAAGTGAGAGGAGAGAGATTTTAAAAAGACATGAGGAATTTTTATTTTACACGGAGAGTGGTTCATGTGTGGAATGAACTTCCAGAGGAAATGGGAGATGTGGGTGCAATTACAATGTTTAAAAGACATTTGCATAAGTACATGAATAGGAAAGATTTGGAGTTTATGGGCCAGGAGCAGGCAAGTGGGGCTAGTTTAGATTATGTTTGGCATGGACTGGTTTGACTGAAGGGTCTGTTTCTGTGCTGTATGACTCTAATACTCTAGAAGGAACACAATTCATAGCAACTTAAGCCTCTGATGAAACGTTCATTAAAAGCATAGCTGATCTGACAGTGGCGTGAAATTCACTTTCTTCCCTATCCCTCATAATGCATGACTGCTTTGTAGATCAGCAACTTTTCTAACTCTGCCTTGAATATCTTCAATGATCTAGCTTCTCTGCACTCTGGAAGATTACAAAGATTAATGTCTCTCGGCGAAGAAATTCCTCCACGTCTCTATCTTAAATAAGAGGCCCTTTATTTTAAACTTTGCTTGTAAGGATAAAAAAAAACCCGTCAAGCTCCTTCAAAATCTTATGTCATAATAAGATCATCTCATTTGTGTAAACTCATCAGTACAGACCCAAGCTTCTGAACGTTTCCTCTGAGAACCCATTCGTCCTGGAAATCAACCTTGTGAACTTTCTCTGAACTGCCTCCGATATATCCATCCAAAACTGCTGGCAGTACTTCAGTTATGGTTTCACCGACGCAAACGTAGCAAAACCTCCCTACTTATATACTCCATCCCTCTTGTAATAAAAGCCAACGTTAATTTGTCTTCTAACTTAACTGTGGCACCTGCATGTTAACATGTTGTAATTTCATATACCAAGACACCCAGGCCCCCTTTGAGACTGCTGCATTCTGTATTCTGTACGTTTAAACAGTAATCTGCTTATGTTTTTTCCACAGAGTGACAACCTCAAATTTTCCCACACTACTGTATCTACTAAATTTTTGCACACTCACTTTATCTAGTTCTGACTCTGATTCCACTTCAGAAGTTGGCTTTCTGATACAGTCAGTTTGAATACAGTACGCACTGTCCTTTCATCCAAGTGATTAATATTGAATGTGAATAGTTGAGATCCCAGTGCTAATTGCTGTGATGCTCCACTGGTTACAGTTTGCCAGCCTGAAAATGATCTACTTCTTCATATTCCCCATTTCTGTCAATTAACCAAGTCTGTAGCCAATTTAATACAGGGAGTTTCCGACTTACACATGTCTGACTTAGGAACGCTGATATGGGTTTATTAATAACCATTTTAAAGATCCAAGTATGCACGCTCCCTCATACTTAGAAATTTGCTGTTTTATGTTCCCTGTACTGTGTTCTGATATGCAACAAATTGTCTTGTGAATAGACTTAAAAACGGAACCTGTTTACAACCCAGGTACTGCCTGTATATTGCCCCCAACACCATGAGATCTTATCTTGCATTGTAAACAATTATGTAATATCTTCACTAAAAACGCTTTACGAAATCCAAATGCATGATGTCTCTTAGTTCCCCTTTACCCATCACACTGGTTACATCCTCAAAGAATTATAATAAATTTGTTAAATATTATTTCCTTTTCACACAAAACCATGTTTGATTTTGCTTGATTATATTATGATTTTCTAAGTGTCCTGCTGCTACTCCCTTAATGGATTCCAGCATTTACCCAATGATAAATGTTGCATTAATCAGCCCGTAATTTATATTATTTTTCTGCCTCCATCTTTATGAACAATGGTGTTACACTAGGTTTTTCAGTCCGCTGAGACCTTTCTGGAATAAAGGAATTGGTAATTAATTAGTAAAGGTGACCCAGTAGCAGAATCAGATCTAATATTGATATATTATGTGAATATTCACCAAAGATTCTTAGACAGCATCTTTCTTCCAAACCCACGACCACTTTCATCAAGAAGGACAAGGGCAGTAGATAATGGGAACACCATGACCTGCAAGTTCCCCTCCAAGTCACTCACCATCCTGATTTGGAAATATATTGGTATTTCGTCACTGTCACTGGGTCAAAATCCTGGAATTCCTACCCTCAGAACATTGTGGGTCAGGCTACAGCAGGTGGACTGCAGTAGTTGAAGAAAGCAGCTCACCAACACCTTCTCAGTGGGCAACTAGGGACAGGCAATTAAAATGCTGGCCAGCCAGCGATACCCGTGTCTCACGAGTGAATAAAAAAAAGTGTTCTGAAATTTATAAGCATGGGCTGGTCGACCACAATTGGTACACTGTGCACTGCAAACAGTAAAAAGGATGTGTTTGGTTTGGTCTGTCAGGCATCTCGGAGACAAAGAAGTGAGCAAGAGGGGATTCTGTGGCAACATGATAATTTGGGCCTACAAGGTGTTGTTAAAATGGAATTCAGCTCAGGTGAAAACACATTCAGCCACTCGTGGCTCATCTTGATTCCAATGAGATAATGACAAAATGAAAATGTAAAGTTTCCTTGAAAGTTACGTTGGTGAATAACCAGAGTCAAAAGAACACATTGACACTGTATAGGTCTTGTATTGCCTTTGCTAAATGATCAAATCCTTCTGTATCTGTGTGTGTGAGAGAGAGAGACCACTTGCCTAATTCATATACAGAATCAGTCATTACATAAGAAAATATGTTCTGAAAAAGGGTCATGGGACTCAAAACGTTAACTCTGTTTTCTCTTCACAGATGCTGCCAGACCTGCTAAGTTTCTCCAGCACTTCCTGTTTTGTTTGTTTCAGATCCCCATCATCTGGAATATTTTGTTTTATTATGTTGATAAAATAGGGTGTAAAGAGACCATCACTTTTGGACAGCGTATACGTATGTGGATTTAGTGAACTATAATGAAGATTCCTATCACCAGGCAGGATACCAACCTTTTGCAGGTCTTGCAACTGGTCCTTAAGTGTGGCTGTGTGCGCTTATGTTGAGCCAGGTTCTGTAGATATTAATTCTGAACTGGGCTTGACAAAATGTTCGTTGTGCTTAATGTAGTCATAGTTGTTGAGTGGAGATTGGTTAAAAGGAATGTATATTAGCATTAGAGAAGTTGGGATTGTTTTCTTAGGGGAGAATAAGGCTGAGAGAGATTTAATTGGGATATGCAAAATCATGAAGGATCTGGGCAGAGTAAGTGGGGAAGAAATTGTTTTTGCTTTTGAAGAGATCAAGATGAGAGGATACAGGTTAAAATTAGAAGCTAAAGTAACATGAGAAAAATCCTTTTCACATTGCAAGTGTTTAAGAACTCGAATGCATTGTCTGAGAGTATGGTGGAGCTAGGTTCAATTGAAGCATTCAAAAGGGAATTAGATTGTTAGAAATAAAGAACTATATAAAGTTGATGGCAGAAAAAGAAAAACAAACCGTCCAAACTACTTTTAACTGCACTGTGCGGCGTTACAGAGGGAAAGCAGGTAAATGCAGTAGGTGCATTGTTCATTTGGACAATTAGTGTACGATGGGTCAAATGGCCTCCTTCTGCACCATAACAATTCTGTGAATTTAAAGGTAGTAAACCTGCAGGCCTACAGGGATAGATCGTGTGGGGAATTGTACTAATTCCATTGCTCCACAAAAAGCCTATGTGGATTCGAAGGGCCAATTGCCTTCTCCTGTGCCATTATGACTGGCCAGTCTCCATTTAAGCACAAAGCTGTGACTTTATCAAACTGAACATATTTGATCCTTGTTGTAAAAGTCAGAATTTTCAGGAGATTTGTCTTCTCTGCCCATTCTTTACATTCCTGTGGAAATGGGAATCTGTGTTCTAGTAGCTTGAATTTCGTTACTTCGGTAATTATTTGACACTCGCATTGTGAATGACCTGTCATGTTTTAAAAGTTGTGACTTTTCCTTTTTCAGAATGAGATCTCCAGTATCAAATGACTTTGAAATATTCTTCAGGCTTTTCTTTTTAACTGGACTTTCAATGTTTTAATCCAGTGCATTGCTTCTGCAGAATTGCAGCCCGTTCAAGTAAAGGAGGAGCATGCAGATCAAAGAGACATCAAACAGGAGACGCAGATGAACAGAAAGAGACCATACTCTGATCAAGGACATGGATATTATGAATACAGAGAGGACAGGAGTTACAGCCGGTGAGTGATAATGCTGCCACTTCACCACCATTGAATGATTTAAGTAAATGAGATTGAGTTTTTTATCTGACCATTTTTTATTTCACAAATATACCTTATAAATATTAATAAGTAAATACAACAAGTACAAAGCAGTTCCGCACAGACTTTGCAAAAAGCACAGTGGAATTTTGACATTCTTCATTAGATTTCAATCCAGTTGCAACAAAAAAAGCATTTTCTAAACATGAAAGGGAACTATTACTATTTCCATTCCCATTAAGGCTACGAAGGTATCCCAAAACGTAGCAGACCCTCTTCACATTGTGGCAGAAAGATCTTGGATGGGGGCCTTTTCCCTCTGTGTTGACAGCTGTCCCTAGCTTTCATATGTTCCTCAACATGTAGTCCTGGACCTTGAAATGTTCAGTCTGCAAGACTTGGTCGAGGTCAGCTCTTTGCACTGGAAGATCAACTAGTTTTGGGCTTTCACCATGTTGATGGCCTGCCAGGCACAGTCAATGTTTGTCTCAATGTGTGTCCTGCGGAACAGCCTGTGGAGCAAACAGTCTTGCATCGCGGCGCTGCTTGGGATAGACTTTGACAAAAACCATTACATCTGTCTCCAGACCTTCTCTGCAAAGATACATTCCAGAAAGGGATGTGTGACAGTGTCTTCACCACCACAGCCATCTCAAGGTTGCATGCGGTGGCACAGTGTGTCTGGGTGTGTATGAAGGTTCTGACAGGTAGTGCCCTCTCACCACTAGCCAAATGACACCTTGGTATTTGTTGGAAAGTTTTTTTTTTGATGAGGCATTATGTCAAATTTGCTGGCTGACTGACCACACTTTTCACAAGTTGTGAATGGAACTTTTTCACTTCTTTCAAGGAGCTTTTATCTAGGTTGTATGTGGTCTTTCACTTTATTGTTGAGGTCATAGCTATCTTAATGTGATCAAAGAACATTACCTGTAGCTGTAACATAGCACACCTTTTATGGAAATCTAGATGGCAGTGATCAGTCCAATTGATGTGAAAATTATGTCCAGTAGTATTGATGAGCCATTTGTAGATTAGCACAGGAAATCCGATACTGTTTTAAACCAGGGAAAGCCATCAGACTCTCAAAAGTCAGCATCTCTCTGTCCCTAGCTATTCATACTTAACATTTGCCTGTAAACTGCTCACTGTAGCTAGCGCCTGAGAAACTAAGCAATTATTGGGCCAACTGCTCTGTAACTGCAGTACAGACTGAAAGTACTTGGAAAAAAGAAGACCAGAGATTAGAAGAACTTGGAGATGCAAAACAGCACCTCATTGAATCCTGTGGAGTGGTACTATTGAGTTGTGTTTCCCTAATATTTTTGCTCCACCCATAACATTTTGTTTCGTTTGTATTTATCTGTCTGCATATGTGTAGGGGTTTAGGAAAGGGTGGAGTTTAAGTTAGAGAGTTAGAAGTTGATAATCCAAATTTTGTTTGCCTGTGGTTAGGACTGAGTCAATTTCAGTTCTGAAATTGATATATATATAATAGTTTCTCGTTAAGTGCAGATTTGGTCAGTAATTTCTGTTAACTTGAGTTCATCAGGCAGTAAATTTGGTGACTTTGAGTAATTTGATTACATTTTTTACTTTACTTTTGTGACAACACCAGGACTCGTGGGGCTCTAGTATTAGTGTGCCTTCCTAAATGGGTCATCACGAGATTGGGGCTGTTTGCTGGGATTATCTTAGAATAAAGATGATGATTTGAGTGTGGAGTTAGGTGATAAAGGATTAAAGAAAGAACCGGGTTTTGTATAATTTGAAAAAAAAGACACTGGAAACTATTCAAGCCTTTGTTCCTGACAAACTTTAAAGAGATCCCAAAAGCCAGATTATTTGAATCAGCAAGTAAATTAGAAGAGATTTTCTGTGATTTTCTGAAGAAGGGTCCAGACCCAAAACGTCAGCTTTCCTGCTCCTCTGATGCTGCTTGGTCTGCTGTGTTCATCCAGCTCTACTCCTTGTTATCTCTCTCTCCAGATTAGAAGGGGGTTGCCTGCCAGAGCTAAAAGAGCAGAAATAATCAAACAGCTAGCGCAACACTTGGGTTGAGTAGTACTCTGGGTAGTAAGACATCAGTCAATATTGAGTTACAGCTAAAGCAGCTTATCACAAGTAAAAGAATTAAAAAGCTGGTAAAGCTAAAACCAGAAATTTACAGATCACTGTCAGGAGAGGTTTCTAGGGATTATGACAATTTAAAATAGGCTATTCTGGATGCATGTGAGTAAGGGCCTGAAGCATATAAGCAAAACATTTCAAAGTTGAGGAAACAGACTGGATAAACCTACACTGAATTTGAAAGGGTTAAACAAAGTAACTTTGACAGATAGTTACAAACATTAGGAACTGAAATGAGCTGTGAAGCCCTTGCATGATTCATTCTCTTGGAACAAATTAAAAATCATTACCTTCTGTAATAACAACCTACATTAAAGACCAAAGGGTTGCAATTGCTGGATATGCAGCAATTATGGCTGATGATTCTGAGCAGATATGTAAAATTAAACCCTCATGAATTCGAAAGGAATAGGAAGTGGGAGAATGAAAGGAGGGTAAGTAGCCAGGGGAAAGAGAAGATAGCTGGGCTAGCCCTAAAATTGCCTTCTCAGATTGGGATTGAAGATCCTGAGGGTGGAGGTGAAATTTGAAGGCCTCTGTGTTTCCTTTGTTCAGAATGCTGGAAGTGGCATGGGAAGCCCGTGGGATTTATTAGGTCTTAATAAAAATGAGTCCAAAAAGAGAACCACAGAGGAAAATATCACAGATCAAATTGTACCTTTAAGTACAGAGGAAGTTGGTGTGACGCTAAAGAGACTGAATAGTTACAGGAATAGGCGTTTTTCCATTGCTGTGTAGTGACAAGGGCAATGGCTAATCAACATCTATCACCACAGGTCAAAGTAATGCAACACCACAAACAAACGTTAGAGTAGACGAAACTGTCTTTAAGAACGAGGATAATGCAAAGTAAGTGTTAGGCTTGTCTTCATTAATTGAGGCTCAGAAAGCAGATGCAGAGTTGAATAAGTTAGCACAGTCAGTTCACACTGAAGCTGAAGGAGTTCCAGCTTACTGTTATATTGAAAACTGAGTTCTGATGAGGAAGCAGAGATACAGTCACAGACCTGCAGACAAAATAATGGACGGTTGTTCATTAATGTAATAATGTAGGGCGACATTGTGAGGAGAGTGGCACATGAAATTCCCATGGCACATCATGCAGGAAAACGGAAAAATCAAGCAATGATAAACAAGACTTCATAAGGACACTGCTATTCTGTAAACCATGTCATAGGTGCAAGGTAATTTTAACCTGTAGTTAAATCAGCACCTTTAATACTTAAATATATTTGAAGAAACGTTTAGTAAAGTGTTAGATTGTATAGGACCATTATCAAAAGTGAAAGCAGGGAACCAGTTTTTCCTTATCACGGAAATAACAACTGGTTATTCCTTTAAGAACAATTACAGCTAAGGCAGTAGTGGAAAAGTTGACTCAATTTTTTTTACTCATTATGGTCTACTAATTACAATACAGGATGTCTTTCAGTTTGGGTATAAAATAATTCAATTCAACAGCATGCCATCTCTGTAGGTAGGGAGCTTTTGAGAGAAAGCATTAGACACTCCAAAATGATTGAATCATAATGTCATGAATACACACATGATTAGGATAAATTATTAGATTTCCTACTGCTTGCTACCAGAGATTCTCCTAATGAATCTACCAGATTTAATCCATTTAAATTGATAGAAGCACGTAAATTTGCAGATAAAAGTGAAAGAACGTGCAAACGTGTTACAACTAGAATCTTTCAAGCAAGAGATGAAGTACAGCAAACTTTGTTTTAACTGGCGCTCTTGACAAACTGGCAAAATTTATATACCTCAAATGCAAAAAGTTTACTGTATTATCGCGATCTCTATGATGTCTGAGTAGTCAGTTGAAGGTGCGACTGACCAGGCTCTCCGCCAGTAAGGCAATATTGCATTATTATTTAAGTGTTTTATGCTGTAAATAAAGTATAACAGTAATGTGTGTACCCCCTGTATTATTGTTACTTAGGATGTGTTTTTGCATTGATGATGTGCCTGGTCCCATAGGTGCCAGTTAATAAAAAGTTTGCTGCACTGGTATTTTTGACTTTGCCATATGAAACTATGAAAGTGAAATTCACTGGTAAATAAGAGGATTAATAAAGTGGCTTATTTGATAAATACTCTTTGATAAATATAGGTTATATGACATAAACATGTTGAAGCAATGTCATTACAGGAAAGAGGATAAGGAGGAGTAAGTGTGTCAGGTTGTAAGAGGAGGGGAGGATGACAGACAATAAGAATGAGTTAGAAGGAGAGGTAGACGGATCAAAAAGCAAACGTCCTACAGTATGATTAGCCAACGTGGAAATGCTGGGCCAGTTAGACACTCTGTCCTTCCTCTAAGTAGGCAGACAAAAGATGATCTAGCAAGGTGACTTGTGAAATGTAGGGAAATCTGTAGAATTGTATTAGTTGGGCCTGGTGTATACTTGGAGAGTCAGTACCAATAAAATAACCTCAGGAGATAGAAATAGAGGTTCAAAACATAGCGGAAAATCATTTGATTGAACCTAGCCACAGTAACTGGAGTTCAGCGGTGGTGTTGGTTTCTAAACTGGGTGGATCAAATAGATTTCATGTTGACCAGATACAGTAATGTGGAAAAAAATTATTATCCAATTCCTTGGTTAGAAGATTGTATCAATAGGGTTAGCATTGCGTCATTTCTTTCCCTGACTAATCTCTCGAAGGGATACTGGCAAGTGACATTAACATCACAGGCTAGAGGAATGTCCATTTTTGTTACACCGGATGGGTTACAGCAATGTTAAGACATGCCATTTAAGTTAAAGAATGCCTCTGTGCCATTCTAATAGCATATGAATTAAATTGTAGCTGAAGTACCTAAGCTGTTGTAGTATAGT